TAGGCCTTTAAGTCGTTTAGCTTTTAGGACTGTTGTGTGTGTGTTCGGTGCTCCTGGTTTAGGGCTTCAGGGTTTGAGGGTATTAAGTTCAAGCATTTAGGCTTCAGGGTGTCGGGTGTATGGTTTATGGTTAAGGGAAGAGGGAGTTTCAGAAGGTTTTTACATGGGTTTAAAAAATCAGAACCTTACCTTCCCTCCAACGAAGGAACACATCCACAACTCCTGAACCCCAACCCTATAAATCCTGAACGCCATTCCAGGCACAGTAATTATATAATTAGTGTTTAGGGTTTAGGGTTTAGAATCGGGTCTAGGGTTTAGGGATGATGTTAACAAGTCAGAAATCCCCATCAGTAACTGCTGGGCTTCTTTGCGTATCCCTCACGGTTTAGGGTTTAGGGTTTAGGGTTTCGGGTTTAGGGTTTAGGGTATCCCTGGCGAGATCTGAGCCAACTGGCCATCTTCGAATTTCAGCTTCTGCGCGCCGTAGGCCTGCCACGCAGCCACCAAAAACGATGCACAGTTGTGTGTACATATGTATAATAAATAAACAAGTATATATATATATATATATACATGTATGCATGCATGCATTCATGCATGTTGTTGTAAGGAACTTCAGACTACAAAGAGTGGCAAAAAGGCCCACAGGGAGACCCAGTAAATCCTAAACCCTAAATTAAACCCTGAACCCTAAACCCTAAACTCGGTAGATCCTTAAGAAGTCTAGTAAATCCTAAAGCCTAAACCCCTCAGCTCCTAGATCCTAAACCCTGAACCCTAAACCCTATAGGTCCTAAATCCTAGACCCTAAACCCTGAACCCTAAACCCTAGGTCCTAGTATCCGAATGCTAAACCCTAGGTCCTACATCCTACATCCTAAACCCTAAACCCTAGGTCCCGAATGCTAAACCCTAGGTCCTAAACCCTAAACCCTAAACCCTGAACCCTAAACCCTAAACCCTAGGTCCTGGTACCTAAATCCCTCAGCTCAGCCTTCGCCTCCGCGATCTCCTGCCTCTTCAACTCGTCTGCACCTTGGAGAATCGGATTGGGGGCCTCCTTGGGCTTTCAAGTAAAAGGCTTAGGGTTTTTAGGGGTTTAGGGGTTTAGGGTTTTTAGGGGTTTAGGGTTTAGGGTTTAGGGTTTAGGGATTAGGAGTTTAGGGGTTTAGGGTTTGAGGGATCCTTCGCTGATCCCAAGACTGCAGCCTGGTGGATGAGGGTTTTGGGGCCTAGCGCCGAGGGTTAGGTTCAGGTTTGCTAAGATTGTTTTGCTTCTTTAAGGAACCTCGAGAACTAGACCTTGGGGTCGATAAGGGTTTATTGACATCCGGACGGTAAGCGGAAACAACTAGTAATCTTTGCGATGGCTACGTTCTCCCGGAACCGCGCGAAACCAAAGCCAAGAACCGCAACCCCGCACGGCAACAATCCTTCTATCCTGAAGCTCATGGAGTCAGTGGCTTGGTCCCTAAACCCTAAACCCAATACCCCAGAAGGAATCATGGTAGAGCTCCTAACACTTACCCGCCGCAGGTACCCAAGAGCATCAGGATCCTTGAGGACGAAATGACATGAACCCTGAAGGGGTTTAAGATTCGTATACCATATACGTTTTCATAGTATAAGGGCACAGGGGCTCCAACGTTTAAGGGCGATTGGATCCTTGAGGGTGAAGTTTGCGACAATTCAGGCCCACGTGCCCGAAACCCTGACCGCAGAGACTGCAAGGACCAAGCGCCTTATGGTTTAGGGTTCGCAGTTCTTACTTCCCCAGTAAGCCAGGGAAAGAAAAGGCTAAACTTTCAGACTACTACTAAATCCCTAAACCCTAAACCCAAGAAGTTTAAAGGTTGGGTATTGAGGAACTAAGAGTTCACCAGGTCCAGGGGTTTGGGGTTTATGGTGTAGGCATTAGGGATTTCGATCTTAGGGTTTTCGGGTTTCAGGGCCCTAAGGACTAAGGGCTCAGGGTTTCAGGGTTTCGGGTAATTTCCATCTCAACCAACTATATCTGACTAGTCTAAGGGCCTTCATAATTAAAATGGGGTTTCGGGTTTTTTTATAGTATGTTTATTATAAAGGGAACCACCCAAAACAATATTGGTAATTCAGGCTGCTATATTCTTAGCTTCCCAGTACCCTGGCCCAAAAAAGTTTAAACTTTTCTTTTAGTAGGGGTTTAATATACCCAAAAAGTTTAAAGTTTACCTATTGGGCTCCTAAGTTTCTAGAAACCCTAAACCCGAACCCCTAAACCCTAAAACCCTGAACCCTAAAAACCCTAAACCTCTCTAGTTTAAAGTTTACCTATTGGGCTCCTAAGTATTAGTATCTGTGCGTGGAGGAGACTCCCGTGGACCGCCCCCTTCCTGCAATTGATTTCGGCCACTGTCGACAAAAGAGGCTGGGGAGGTCCTTAGTAATCCGCGGTTTAGGGTTTAGGGTTTAGGGTTTAGGGTTTAGGGGTTTAGGGGTTTAGGGGTTTAGGGTTTAG